ATCTCCTACACCAAAAGTTCATTCATATAACCTCTTTGCACTAAAATTGCAACTCCTATTGAGTTTTGCTTTAATAATTCAATTTTTTAAATCATTGAACTACATGAATGTCATATGATATATCCATTTTATTAGTTAATCAAATCAAGTCATTAAATTAATCTTTATACTTTTTTTCTTTTTGGGATAAAAAAGGATTTTAATACTCTTAGATTGGTTTAAATAAATAATGATCATCTCCACCCACTCTCTTTCCCTCATAAAGTATTTAGAGTGCCATGAGCTCAGCTCGGCGATAATTGACATATGTCTTTGACCAATAGGTCATGAGTACGAGAATCCCCCACCTCATTTATTTATACTCAAAAAAGAAAAAAAAACCTTTAGAGTCAACCTCCTTTATTCTCAATTTCCTCTTTTTGTCTATCATACTTATTGATAACATGTAAAAAGCAATAAAGGAAAATAGTAGGGTATATAGAAGTACCTTCTTCCTTTTTTATTTATTTAGAAAATGAGTCGAGAGCTTTTTTTTTTTTTACCATGTACAAAAATGTTTCAAGAATTTTATGGTGTTTGGCACCATATTATGCAACTAAAATTTTATACATATTAATAAAACAAGAGACCAAATTGGTCTTATAATAATGAAATTTTAAAGAGGGATAAAATTTAGTTCTTTGGTCAACGTAATTTCAAAATGTCTATTTGGGTCCTTGTACTATCTAAAAATAATCAAGTTATTAATGACCGGACCAAACCAAGAAATAAACCCTCATGTGCGAAATTATAGAAGATCTCCTTTAAGATCAAACAATTCCATCGAATTGAGTATGATTGTATGTGTGATAGCATCTATTATACCAGGAATATCAATGAAACCCGATTATTGAAATTGCTCAGGATACCCTTTTTTAGTTTAGCTTCTAGAATTTATTTCTTAGTTCAAGATCCCTCTTACTAATTAGAATCAAAGAATTAGTAGATCTGTTCCACCCAAGAAAAAGACCTAAGTCCTAGCAGACCCGCTAAATGGTGATTCAACATGGATTCTACATCTTGGAACCAAGCCAATTTTGGAGCAGCCTTGTGATAATGAAACCAATAAGCAAGAAGCATTAAGGATGCAAAGACTAATGCACCAATTGCGGTACAATAGAGTGTAATTCACTAGTTGCTCGCCACACATCTGAAAAAAACCAGAGGTTATCGAATTTTGTTTATTTTAGTCATTGTAATTTAAGAACGTCAGTTTTGCTTCATATACTTTTTAAAAGCAACCATTTTAGTCCATATTGTCAAAATTTTAACAACAATTAAAACCTTTTAATATAAATTTATGGTTGCTGTTTGCATCAAATGTCTGAACGTATAGTAAATTTGATAAAATTTAGTGAGTGAGTGAAGCGACTGTACACAATTACAGTATACGCATTTAGAAATTTAGTGATTGTATACTCTTAAAATTGTAATCAATATAAATGAAAAGAAATGGACCAAAATGGTCACTGTTTAAAAGTAGAAAGACAACAACGRCGTATCAATAGTACAAAGACTAAAACAAATAAAAATTAAAAGTACAGGAACTAAAATTGATTGACGTTTTGAAAATATAAGAATCAAAATGAACCAAGCTGAAAGTACAAATACCAAAAAAGTATTCAACAGAAAGAAAAAAAATCTATATAATAAAATTAAGAAAATTTTGAATCCAATGTTCATGCTAACCAACTCCCTTGTCAAAAGAGAAGAAGAAAAAAAACCTCTTGCCCCATGGAAAAAGGGTAGGTATCTTTGACATGAATATATGAAGGTTGGTGAGAAGATCATCAATATCCAATATTTTTCAAAATTTTACACCTCATGAAGAACTTGAAACATTTATATCTTTCAATACATGTTGAATATTCCACCAACAACAAAGGCCTATCCTACCCATCTAACTTTTATTTTTCTATTATTTATATATATATAGAGAGAGTTGTGTTTGAATTTTCAGTTGAAATATTTGGTCTTGGATGTACAAAGCATTGAAAAGAACTAAGTTCCAAAACATGTTCACATTAGTTGCCTTATTTTCTTTTGACCTAAACTATAATGCCCAAACAATTTCCAATCCCCATTCAAATAACTATTTTACTTTAAACAATATGGTTGTTTTTAATTAATAGGTTTCCCACCTTTTAAAATAGTTCTAAAATATTTGAGCTAAATTTCAAAAATAAGTTATTTTAGGACCTCGTTTGATAAACATGTCTCTATTTGATTTTCTGTTTTTAAAAATTAAGCTCGTTGTTGCTTTTGGGATGTGGCTAAAATTCAAATAAACTTTCAAATGAGGTAAAAATAACTTAGTAATATTACTAAAAACTTAATGGTCATCAAAGGGCATGTTTGTACCGGAAAAGATCCTTATTGAGATAGTAAAATAGGTGTATTTTGATCGACCGATCTCTTCCTCTTGCKTTCCCTCATCATCATCTCATCACCAACCTCCAATTTGACTCCAAAGAGTTTCAAGTTTGGCTTCATTATTGTCTGATCTCGCTCGTGTTCATCGTCCTCGTCATTAATGGCGTATTTGTACTTAGCCACCAAATCAAGAAGCTCTCTACACTTCTTCTTCATGTTTGTGAGCTCAGAGCTCAACACTCCATTCTCCTTTTTCAACCTTGTGTTTTCGTCAACAAGTGTGGCGTATTGATCGGACGAAGATGAGGACGAAGACAACCGTTGATCGTCATCATGACGATCTTGATGTGTGGCCTTGATTGTTGATGTGTTTTGTCGTCGTGGCCTGTTGTTCCATGCTTTTCTCCTACGTATTTCACACAATTGCTCTTTTGCTCCCTTTCGAAACTTGTCATTGTAGAACTCCCATCTACTCGTTGCAACCTTCCGAAAGCCCTGTCAAGATTTCATTACACATGAAAATTAGAATGTAACTTTTCATAGTTCAATAACATGTGAGAATGAGGGTAGGAATTCGATCACATATAGTTGAATTATGCTCAAATTTATAAAATTAGAATATGATTTAACTTCATCAAAAGCCAATTCAAAAGCAATCTTATGGAAATGGAAAAGCCTTAATAGTCGTAAATTTTGAGGGTTTTAAGCATGGATACATGGTTCAAACTTAAATCAATATATTTTTTTGCTCAAGCTGCAATCTGTATAGTTTTGACACATGGGAAAATTTCTATAATTATACCAGAAATATTAACTTATTTTCATTTTTAGGATCAATAGTTTGATCTCCATCCCCCAATTAAAAAAATATATTTAATTATTATTATATAGATATATTCTATAGTATTAGTGGTTAATACTTAGTATTGAGTTAAACATAATTTTATTATAAAAAAAGTGTAAATTTGAAAATATTTAAGATGTGGTGTCTTTTATTATTATTGTTATTAATTATCATTCAATAACAGTTATGTAGCTTTTCAAGAAGTGTATTTATCAATGTTACATTTTCTATTAAGTATTTTAATTAAAAAAAAAGTGCTTGGTAATAAAAACTCTTTGTTAAATGGCTTTGAAATTTCTAGAGTGTGTTTTCGTAATCTAATTACATGTAATTTTTGAAATTATTAATTTCTACTTAACCAATATTTATAGAATTTAAAAGTCACTACATTAAAATTAATTAAAATGATGAGAAGGTACCTAAAATGAAAACAATTAAAAATCTTTAGGAAGTGAAAAAATGTGTGTAGCTAGAGAAAATTAGTGAGAGAAATTGGAATATATGCATATCGAGAAGTTAGTGAAGAAAAAGCGGGTGAAGAGAAAGATTAGTGAGAGAAAGTGTGAGTAATTAGAAAATTATCATAAAGGATTAACACTTTAATATTTATGCAAAAACACTTAAATCAATTGTGGGAATTCGAATCTCTCCCATTCCAGAAAATAAGTTTCTTGACGAGTGATATTTATCCGTCCTTTAAAAGTATTTTTATCATAGTTCTTTGAGATATCATATATAAATTAAATTTATCCAACCCATCAATTTAAACTTTTGAGTTGAGTAGCGGTTTATTCGTCCATAACATAGTTAAAACCACCCTCGTAAAGAGTATTGATATTTACCGAAAAATAGTATTGAAAATTTTCTTGATTGGAGACCATATATTTTATCTTGTAATTTTTTCAAAAAATAATAACAATAAAATTCTAGATAAATTTTAATAATATTGAAAAAAGGTGAGAGGCTTTTGGATATATATATGTATGTGTATATATATATATTCACTTTTTAAAAATATTCTAGAAATCTTAAGCAATTCTTTTTGCAAAGAAAGTTTCTGAAAAAACTTATTTTAGTTTTCTAAATCTGCCTACAATCTCCAAAACAATTTAAAAATAGATTAAAAGAATAAAGAAAATGTTAGAAAGATAAATTAGTATAGTTTCCATAAAAAAAATAAATAAATAAAAAACAAAAAACGTTATCAAACCGATCCTCAAGCTATTTAAATCAAGGGAGTAGGTGGATTTTAGTTTGATTCGATCCCCAAATCAAACCGAGTGAAACCCGAACCCGAACCGATAGAAAAAAGCTTTAAAAAGTGAAAAAAAGGAGCATAGTATATGGATATATTGTACATATGTGTTAAGTTGGCGGACGAAGCTAGAGAAGTTGCTGTGCTTGAAGAGGGTGGGGAGGAGATCTCTGGCGAACTCCGGCGGCTGCCACACCACGAAGGCGGTCCCGTCATCGTTCCACGATATGACGTCATCGGTGGCGGGATCCTCGACGAGCATGTAGGTTTTGACCAAGAACGGCGGCGGAGTTGACTTCCGAGAGGTCGCGGTGGCTGCGACGGCCTCCCTCATTGAATTCAACTTAATATCGAAGAGAAAGAGAGAAAAAAAAAAAAGAAAGAAAGCGAAGAATCGAAACATAGAATTGAGAATTTAGGAGGAGAAGAGAAGAAGGGCAGTTAAGAACTCCCAACCCCAACAATAGAAACCCAACACGACTCCACAGTTCATCAGAAATGCATAAGAAATGAAATGACCTTTTTTTCTTCTCTCTCTCTCTCTAGAAAGAAAGAAAAGGAAGAATTGGTTGCTAAGTTATATGGGAGTAGTAAGCCTATTAAACTTCTTTTATATATATATTACTCACACCATTCATCACATCCCATCCATTTACTACTTTTTCTAAATACCATTTCTTTTTCTTATTATTGTTATTTTTTAAATCAATACCAGGCTTTTTTTTTTTTTAAATAATGTTCAACTTTTCATGAAATAATATATTTTTTTTTCAATTTTTTTTTTGTAAATTATTATATTAAAATTTTGACCATGTTTCCTTAAACTATTTGTATCACTTCATCACATTTATTAGAGAGACCTATTTAACAATATTGAGATGCGATTATACATCACTTTTTGTTTGGGGTAAAAATACCTTGGACATTAAAATATCCCAGGTCCACCTCGAACCTGCCGAAGAGGTCGGGTTCGCCCATTGGAATTAGACTAAGTATACATGCTGAAGTTCGACCTGATTGGGGTTCGATCTGCTCGGAACCCGACAGGTCCGACGTGAGAAAATACATGTAACCGCCGGTCGTGAGTACTGTCGGACCCGCCACCTATAAATAGAGGGTCTCATTACACGCTCAGGTATCGAATCTCACCTCGAACTTAATATTGAGTCCGACCTACACTGACTTGAGCGTCGGAGAGTTTACCCTCTTGTGCTGGTTCTCTTGAGTTCAGGTCGAGCCGGGAACCGGTTCGAGCTTGGTTTGTAAAACAGCGTTGTGCAATCCTTTGCATAAACACTTTTAAAAAGTGAAATTTTGTGGAGGAGTTTTAGGGAAAATTGTAAGAATTAAATTTGTTTTTTTATTAATATAAAAAAGAAGGAGTTTGCGACTAGTAGTTATAAATATTCGGAATGTCTATTGTATGAGTAATACAAATATGTTTTTGTTATTATTATTATTATTTTTTTTTTGTTGTAAAACTTAGGGTCATGGCGTTAGATAATTCAAGGACTAGGTAGGTAGATGAATAAGTTAAAAAAAAAAACTTAAAAGGACTAAAATACTAATTTACTCAAAATTTTGTTAATTGAATTGGAAATGAAATTTTAATTTGATGAAATAATGATACGATATTGATGTGTTCATTAGGGTGTTTATTATGTTTCCTTATTTGATTTAGAGAATTGTAGAATAGTTTTTTTTATATACATATTGTATTATTAATCAATGAAAGCTCAAGGAAAATTCCTCAATTTAGCATGGTATCAAAGTCCTAGGTATTTTTCTAGGGCAATTAAATTTTGTGAACCTAATTTTGGTTTATGTGTAGATCGTCGTCGACAAGATTTGTGGGTAGGTTGTACTATTCGTGGTTATCGTTCGGGATTTTCGTGGGTTTTTTATTTCGTGTCCACTGCTGCATCATCTGCACGCCATTCGTGGTTCGTCACCTTGTTGCTGCTACACTGCTACAGTGACCCGTCGCCGAATGGCGACTCGCCGCTGCAGCTACAGTTACCCGCCACCAGTACTGCTACAACAATCCATCGCCGGTACTGCTACAGCGTCGCCACATACCCATCGCCGCTGATCTGCACCACCTTTGTCGCTGGTATCGCTTCAGTCGGGCTCGTGAAGGTGGCCGATTGTGTGGGATTCAGACCCACGATTCAAATAAGTCGTGGTTTATTATACGATATTCCGAGAGTGTATTTCGTTTGTTCTGTGTGGTATGGAGAGTGAAGATCCAGATCTACTGCTTGTCCCTAATTTGTAGGGTTATTTTGTTGATAGGATCTGTTTAGAGTACTTGGTTTGGTTTTATTACGTAGGAAAATAAAGGACAAAATTGGAACCAACAGGTAAAAATTGTTGTGTCGTGGGTGGAACCACTGCCTTGAAAGAAAATTCGGTACGACCTCAGTGTTAAATCATTTTACTGTCGATATGCTCCCCAAGGTTAACACAACCTCCAATTCAGACATGCACTTATCGGAATGAGAGTGAAATCAATCTCGATGAGAGTGAAATCAATCTCGTGCTCAGTTAAGGTAGTGGAAAGGAGTGGGAAAAGTGAACGAATAGAGAGGAGAGAATAAAATTGGGATGATTTGATTTGGAACGAATAACTCTTATTATACTAAGGGAGTGGCTCAAAATAGATTTTGAATTTTAAAAAATAAAAAATCCAGAAAAAGTTTGGGCCACCCATGTATCCTTTGGCCACTTCCTTCTCTTTGGACTTCCACAATCTATGCTAAACCATCCACACTTCCTTGAATTTTTCAATTCAATTGTGATTCTCAACAATCTCCCACGAATGACAACATACTAAAAGAAGTAAGAAGAAGAATTGAAAATCTAAGCAAATGATAAAAACTTAAGCCTTAATATCTTTTGATTTGAATTAATGCATAGTGAAGTAGAGCAACAACCTAAATAATAAAAGTGAGTTACCTCTTGAACTTCCAGTATTTATAGTTGAGACCCCCACAACACGTTTTGAATCATCGATTTTGATTATGCGATAGTTGTCAAGTGCTTTTAGTGGTCATGCACATACACCTTGGGTCATCGTAAAAGCTCTAGAAAGAGACTCCACAACTCTTTCATAGAAGGCAGCCTCACCTTCACAGTCACTTTGTCGCTTCATCATGTCTATCATACATAAACCACTAAAAAACTGAGATATGAAGACTTTGGATATTATCCATCAAGTCTACGCATGGACCACCCAAAAAGGGCTATGGGTTCACATGTTTTATAGTATCCATCAAGTCCATTCATGGACCACCCAAATAAAGACTATGAATTCACATATGTTTCACTAAATCCATTAAGTCCATAAATGAACCACCTAAAAGAAGGGTTATGGATTGAACATCATGGCTTGAGTCTCATACATCTTGAAGACTTCAGAATTACTCTCCTTGTTTGGCCTTTGGTGAGAGGGTCTGCCAAGTTCCTCTCGGACCTCACATACTCCAAGGATATAATTCCATATTTCAGCAACTGCTTCACAGCTCAATGTCTTAGACGTATGTGGCGTCTCTTGCCATTGTATACACGGTTTTTGGCAATTCCTATAGTAGCCTGTGAGTCACAATGTATGGATACAAGTACAGATTTCCCCCACAATGGCACGTCTCCAAGAAGGCTTCTCAGCCATTCAGCCTCTTGACCTGCTAGTTCAAGTGCTATGAACTTAGATTTTATGGTAGAGTGAGCGATGCAGGTCTGTTTTGCCAATTTCCATGAGATAGCTTCACCGCCAAAAGTAAACACATACCCGCTAGTGGAGCTTACTTCATCATTATCTGTAACCTAGTTTGCACCACAATATCCTTGTAGCACAACAAGAAATTTGTTAAAATGCAAACAATAGTCCATTGTACCACTAAGATACCTTAACAACCAATGTAGGGCAACCCAGAGATCTTTACCAGGGTTATGAGTGTATCTACTCAGTCAGCTTACCGCATATGCAATATCAGGTCTAGTGTAATTCATTAAAAACATGACACTACCTATGATCTTTGCATATTTGGATTGAAATACTGTAATACCTCATGCCCAAGATTCGGACCAGGATTCATAATTCGGATACGACACCTCTTTGTCCCGACATTTCCCTGCATCCCCTGCGACCTAGTCGCACCACTGTTTAGTTTTGAGCTACATAGAAGAGTGTAGACTATCCCTATAGACCAACACGAGTCCTTCCAACATGTTTTGTCCTCACTCACATTGATACGCGACAACCCAAGCGTATTGAGCTACTCGAGCTACAAGCCACTTGAATCCAATCTATAGTTGGTTCAACCCGAAAGGCCAAGGTTAGAGGGATTACCTTTGCAGTCGTTACCTTGAGCAGACAGATGACTCACTATGCTCGAGGCCGAAAACACTCAACAAGTTTGATGACCAATCAAACAAGCATGCTCCGAGGGGTTCAAATACGAAGGTCTAAGTTCAACCACACAAAGGGATTCAAAATTTGAGTGGGGTTTGCACAAGGCGATGAGAGAAACACTCAATTCTATTCAAAGACAATTCTAAGATGTGTTACAATGGAGGGGAACAAGCCTATTTATAGGTCAAGGCCCTTGGCCTTTTAAGGAAAATAACAAAATTAAAAAAGAAAATTAAAATTGATAAATTCTTAAAATGTCTAAAACTTGCCTAAAGATGAAATTTAAATTTGATAAATAAAACAATAAATCAAAAATAAATCCTAAATCAAATCTCCCAAGAATAAATCAAAATCATAAGGAGACACATTCTTTATTTGGGAGGAGTGGGCGACAAGGTATGGCTGGCAAGGGTGGCGCGTGCGCATGGACGTTGGAGTGGGGCTCGCTGGGCAGGCGGCATGGTCGTTGGGTGTTGGGGCAGGCGTGCTGGGCGTGCGGCATGGGCGCTGGGTGCTGGGGCAGGCGCGCTTGGCGTGTAGCATGGTCGTTAGGCGCTGTTTTCATGTTGTTTGTGACTTCGTTGTTCCAGCATTGGATGCCCTAGCTTTTACTGGGTTGACCTCTTCGCTTGTGATATGCGCACTACTGTTCATTAACTGCCTGATGTTTGCCCTTTTTTTAACTGGCATGATTATAGGTGTTACATCCGACTCGCATGCTTCTGTTTGTAGCCAATGTCCTTCATCTTGATTTAATTCTTTATGGATTCTTGGAGCATTTGTATGGGCGTAGGCAATGTCTTGCCACTCCGTAATGTCAGAGCATAACATTACTCCTTCCCATCCCTCTTGGCCACCTTAATATCATTAGACAACGCTCCATTGGGTCTACTTTTCAGATCTGTTGCCACTGACCCACTTGCATTTCTAGATTCCTCAGTGATGCTGCCTGACTTTGCACTGTGATGTCATTCTTTTCCATATTCTTCTTCATTAGATTCTCCAATGATGCGAATGATCCTTCAGATACCATTTGCACTGTTACCTGACCTTGGTTTGAGAAGTCTGGGGGATAACTTTCTTTTTGCTGATATGCTGGAGCATTGGATGTACCAGCATTGTTTCCTCCCTGATTTCCACTCCAACTAAAGTTGGGATGGTTCCTCCAGCCCGGGTTGTACGTATTGGAATATGAGTTCTTTCCATTGTTCTGAGCATTTCCCAAATAGTACACCGACTCTGGATTGTCAGGGTAGTTGTTGTAATGATGCTCTCCTTCGCAAAAAGAGCAAGAAATCCCTTGGATGTGGCTAACATTTGCCTTACCATCAGATGCTCCCACTGTGTTTTGCTGAGTCATGCTTCTCATCACTAAATTTGTCAAGTTTTCAACTTTCGAGTTCAAAGCATAGTATGATTCAGATTCATTAAGTCCCTTACCTCCTCTACCTTGAATAGCTCTAGGGTCTGACCATGAATGGTTGTTCGATGATATCCTCTCCAAGATATTGAATGCTTCAGCATAAGGTTTTACTAGCAATGCGCCATTTGTTGAGGCATCGATGACTAAACGTGTAGCATCGTCCAAGCCTTTATAATATTTCTCAATTTGGATACATCTTGGGATTCCATGGTGAGGGCATTTTTGCAGAAGCTGTTTAAAACGCTCCCAAGACTCATTAACCGACTCCCTAACAATTTGTTGAAAATTCTTGATTTCGCTTCTGTACTTAGCATTTTTTCTTGGTGGGAAGTACTTCATCAAAAATTTTTCGGCCAAGTCGTCCCAACTTGTAATGGATTTTGAAGGCAGCGACTCCAATCAAGTACTAGCTTCATCTCTAAGTGAATGGGGGAACAACTTAAGCCGCAACACTTCTTTGCTGCATCCTTCATCCTTAAACGAATTGCAAACTCCTATAAAAAACTTCAAATGCTGATGCGGGTCCTCCATAGAATGTCCATGAAATTGACCCACTGTCTGGAGCATCTGAAACATTACCGGCTTAAGTTCAAATTTTGGGGCTATAATTTCAGGCTCCATGATTATTGGGTTGAAATTATAAAATGCTGGAGCTGCATACGCCCTGATTTCTCTGTTGATGTCATCTGCTAGTAATACAGCATTGAGAGGGGGCACTGCTACCTCAGGGTCAGCAGCAACAGGAAACCCGTCTACTATTTCCTCAATCCTCACATTCGGTGGCTGACGCATATTTGGGTTGGGTGGATTCATGTTTGCTTCAACTTGGACTCTCCGTTGTTCTCTTCGATTCCTATGAAATGTGCGTTCAATCTCGTGATCTATAATATATTCCAAGCTCTTAAAATCGTTCATGCACCTCGAAAAAACACACAGAAAATTACAAATGTGAAAATGAGAAAAATCACTTCAGCACCGTATCTACAAATATCAATGTTAAAATAAAATCGCAAAAATCCCCGGCAACGACGCCAAAAACTTGTTGCGTCCATACAACTGTGTTGACAAGACGTGCAAGTATACACGATTCGTCGGTTGTAGTACGTAACGAGGTCGTATCTACAGGGATTTTTGATTGTATTTTAACGATAAAAGCAGATACGAACAAATAAAAATATACAAAGATTGGGTATGGATATTGTCTAGAAAAACAATAAAATAAAGTAATAACAAGACGACAGAAACTTGCAAGAGACAACAGTTTCAAGGCTATCGACGCAAGGAAATAGTAGAACAGGAAGCGATAATGGGGGATTAAAAGATATGAAGGTGGTGGGGGAGATTCAACATACTTTAACATGTTATCAACCTATACTCTAGCGTAGCTAATATTTATTAGTGCCCAGTTCGACTCGGTTCCCTTCCGAGACACCCGAAACATGAGTAAATACAACTTCCATTGCTAAATACCCAAGCAATAAATCCAAACTATAGGTATGATTAGGAGACCCTATTCCTGAGTATCCCTATAGCTATAGAAAAGCGCTAATCACAAGCAAAACAAATCAACACTCACAAGCCCTTCCGGGTCAATATAGAAACTAGCATACACGAAACAGCGGCCAACAGTAACGCGAAGATTTAAGAAATAAATTCAGATTTGCTTAAAAACAAATGTAGCAGCTAGAGATTCGGTCTCAAGTCAGTTACAGCATATGAACCTCCCCCCAAATGGGGTTTAGCTCATAATTGGTGAAGAAAACAAAATGGAAGAAGAAGAAATACAACCCATAACAGAAAAATAGATAAATGACAGAGAAGAAGAGCAGTCAGCGCGTTCCAGCAGACGAGCTTCTCCTTTCTGGCGTTAGCTCTCCTCCCAAAAATGGGTATATTCCCTCTCTTGGTCTTTTCGGCCCTCAAATTGTCTCCCTTGGGCTCTGTGTGTCTGGCGGCTAGGGCAACACGCCCCTTTTATATCGGGTTCTAAATTTAGGGCACTCAGCCGAAAATTGTACGGACACGGTAAATCCCGTGTTTTTGGAATTAACTGTATGGTCACTCCATGCTCTAGCTTCGCTATGCTCTAGCTTTTATATGCTTTGTCTTGGAAATGCTTTGACTGCTCTTCTCTGGTTCAACACTTCCTTCTCTTCTTAGTTCTTCTTTAAAAATCTATGCAAATGAACCATAAATACGAGAGTTTATGCTGTTTTTGGCCAAAGTTCTCAAGACTAAGGATATTTAGCTAAGAATTTACATTTTAACACTATTCATGCTAATTATGACCTAAAACGACACACTTTGACATTTTAATGCACATTTTCACCCAAATAATCACTAGAACAACTCTCTTTTGGAGAGTTATCACATGGCCTTCAAAATAGTCAAAATTTGTTGACGTGTCCAATGAAGTCTCCTTCGCTTATGGGGTATTTCCTCAGATTCTTCTTTCTTATTGGTGTAGGTGTCATTTTGGAATGTGCCAAATATGATCACATTATCTCCTCCTTCTTGATTTGGATTCGTCCTCGAATCAAGTTGGTTACCTACATCCAAACGAAGCAAGTTAGTCCAATGATATGTATCTATAGTAGGATTTTTACCTTGATAAAGTTGAAAAACTTCATTTTTTTCCTTCTTCTCAAATATCTCCACTTGATGATCATTCGTGCTCTCCTCATGTGGCTCGGCTTCTTGAGGTGTTTGAGATCCTTTAGTGGGTGGCTCAAAGTTGCTTCCTTCTCCTTCTTCTTCTTCCATTTTTCCTTCCATATTTGGCATGTGTTCAGTCATTGTCTCCTCAATTTCCTATAAAAACTCAATACAAGTACTAGGCAAAGTGTTTCTTCTTTCTTGAGCTAGGAGATCATTACCTTCATTAAAATATAGAAGAAGTAATTGTATAGCACATAGAGCTCGCTCTATTTCATCTTTTCTAGCCATGAGAGTCACGACTTTTTCTCTCTTCTTTGGAGCATTTTCTTTCTCTTTATTTTGAAGTTCAATAACTTCCATTTTCTCGGCCTCCATCCTCCTTTCCTCAAATTTTAACTCATCAATGTGTACAAGTGTGATTTTCTTACCTTGATGCTCAAAGGAATATTTATTAAGAAAACCATCAAAACTCACTTTCTTATCAAATTGTCACGGTCTCCCTAGCAAGAAATCACTAGGATGCATAGGTACAACATCACAAGTGACCTCGTCCATGTACCTACCTATGTTAAATGGAACTTGAACTTGCTTTTGGACCTTCACATCCCCACTATTATTCAACCATTGTAGGCTATAAGGCCGTTGGTAGGGTGTAGTGGCTAAATTCAACCTCTCCACTATATCCTTACTAGCAACATTAGTGCAACTCTCACTATCAATGATAACACTACATCGGGTGGAGTTTACTATGTACCTAGTATGGAATAGGTTCTCTCTTTGTGCCTCTAAGGATTCTTTCCTAAATTGCACATTGAGGTTCCTCCTAGACACTAAGGCTAGGTCTTTGGAATCCTCTTCTACTTGCTCCTCTTGACTACTCTCATCTTTCCTCTTCTCAACCCCTACTTTTTCTTCTTCCTCAACATCCATGACTAGCTCTCCCTCTTTGAGTACCATGGCTCTTTAGTTAGGACAATTTCGGCTTATGTGGCTTACTCCACGACACTTGAAACATTTAATGTCACTAGTCATAGTCTTGGGAATTTCAGGTTGGGTTTTGGACTTGGATGACTCTCCCTTCTCATAGTTAACCTTCGATTTTGACTCTAGGGATTTCCGTCTTGCTACTAGTGGCCTTAGGAGTAGATTTGACATACATTTTAGCTCTCCTTCGGTTTTGCTCCTTTATTTTGACGGCGAGGTGTAAAAGTTCCTCCATGTCTTCATAGTGTTACAAATCAAGCTTGTCGGCTATGTCCGGATTAAAACCATCTAAGAAACGAGCCATAGTGGTCTCTTCATCTTCATCTAGTTGCAATCGGCTCATCAACATGTCCATCTCCTTGTAGTAGTCTTCAACTCCCTTCGTGCCTTGATTGGGCTTATTAGGTTTCCTTGAATTTGCTCTATGGTAATGTGGTGGCACAAATCTTCTCTTCATGAGTTCATTGAGCTTTATCCATGAAGCTACGGGTTCTTCATGATTCCTCCTTCTATGAGCCATCACTTTATCCCACCAAGTTAGTGCATAATCTTTAAAATGAGTGATTGCGAGAATTACCTTCTTGCCATCATCATAATTGTGGCATGCAAACACTAACTCAATCTCCATTTCCCATGTTTCAAATTCTTCGGGTGTAGACTTTCCATGGAAGGTTGAGATTTTCAACTTGATGCTCCCAAGGTAGTTTTCTCTTCTTAGCCTTTCTCGGTATTGTTGGAATCTTCCTCTTTCTTGGCCAATATACGCTCTTCTTGGACCTACATCAAAAGGATCCTCATTAGCAAAATATTCATTTAAAGTACCTACCTCATCTTCTTGAGATCCGTTGGATATCTCTTTTGGGCTCATTGGCCTCCTTCGGTGTGGCATTCTTTGTGGCCTTTCCAATCCTTAAACACGTGTGTTCATCATTTGCAAGGACTCGATTAGGTCTTCAAGCCTTTGTGTAAACCTTGCAAAGGTTTGGATTTGAGCTTCCTTAAGCCTTTTATCGCTCACATTGGCCTTGTTATCTCTTATTGTGAGTCATGAGACTTTCTTCTTGATGCCATCACTACACAAATAAAAGGTTAGTATAAACAATTAAAGTTCACTCTCACACCCTTACTTGTCCTCTCGGCTTCCTCTCCTTTGGTAGGGTGGATTTTTTATGTGGATACCCTTTGGAGATGCTCACTTGAATGCTCATAGCGAATCGGTCTTAGAACAAGTGAGTATAAGCTTACAAGCAACTTGCAAAAATATCCTCCTTTCTTTTTTTCTTGACTAGGGGCCAATGGTATAGATGATATCAAAGACAAGACTAAAAAAAATACCAAATGATAGTTATAATGCTACCAAATGATATTTATAAAGAATATGGCAAGATATGAACAAAAATGATAGGACAATCTTAAGCCTAATGCTCTTGGTTATATGGACTCAATTACAATATGCAAATTGAAGTTAAAGCTAAACAAAGAAAGAAATATGCAAATAAAATCAATGAAGTCAAGAATATACTAAAAAGATGTACAAAACCAAATTGTAGTGCAAACACACACAAAAATATACTTACCAACGAAACAGTGAACTTTGCGGTAATTTGGGTAACTTTAGGTGAGGGGCGTGTGATGTGTACAACTCGGATGGGGCTCTAACCAGTGGTAAAAGTTAGCACAACAAGTGTAATTAGAGT